TTCCTGCAAAGAACTCCGGTTTCTCAGCTGGCTTTTATTTCTGAAGGGAGGGGCCATTACCTTACAGCCTTACTCCTGAGTCACCCATGCTGCTGCAGTTGCTCTTTCCTTCAAGCAGCCCTGCACACACAGGCACTGGGCACAGGCTCCTCAGGGAACTGTTCCTCACTGCTGCCAGCCTCCACCATCTCCGAAGGCAGCACTCCACTCCCTGATGGTCCTGGCCCCATCCCTGCATCACACGCAGGACCCTTGTTGGAGTTCTCGCTCTCCGAGACCTCAACCATCCACACCTGCTGCCAGTGAACCACAACAGCTTGCGATAATACACTGACTCATCAAGAGCAACAACGTGTCTAAAAAAGTTTGTTCCACTAACCAAGGTGCTCTGGGTCCAATCCGACAGCTCAGATTCATTGATGGTTTTTAAACAAAAAAACCTTTATTTTATTTTGTTTTTCAAAAACCTGGACTGATTTTTTAATTTCTCTCCCGAAAAGGAGAAAAAGCTCCTTTCCAAAATGGTCCAGGATTCCACACACACACTGATGCCTGGCCGAAAACAAAAATCAGAAACCGAACGTGTTTTTATTTGACATGCAAATTGGAGCCAGTTAAATCAAAACCGGCCCAGGTTTTCTTTAAAGGGGAAACAGATTCTGGTTGATTACATAAATCAGAAAAGAAAAAGGAAAAAAAAAGCATGAGTCACTGTAACTTCAAAGGAAAGGGAGGGGGGATTTAGCAGCTCAGATTTAAGAAAATACTACCGAACGTGCGGTGTTAAACAGGCCAACGAGAATTCCTCTTCCCTCACAATTATAGGTAGTCCTTGACTTACAACCACAATTGAGCCCGTTTTCTGTGGCTGAGCTGTCCATTACGTAAATTTTTGCACCATTTGACGCGTTCTCTTGCCACCGTTGTTAAGTGAATCACTTCCATTGTTAAGTTGGTAACCCAGTTCTTAAGTGAATCTGGCTCCCCCGTAGATTGGGCTTGTCAGAAGGTCGCAAAAGCGGAATGTGTGACCCCGGGACACCGCCATAAATACAAGTCAGTTGCCAAGCGTTCAAATTTTCGTTTAGTTAAAAGGGAGGCTAGACTAGAAAATCCAAAAAAACATCCTAGAATAAGACGAAAATACATCATTTCTGCACTGTGGGCAAGGAACTGTGCTAGGAATGGAATGGAATATAGAATAGAATAGAATAGAACAGAGAATAGAATAGAATAGAATAGAATAGAATAGAATAGAATAGAATAGAATAGAATAGAATAGAATAGAATAGATATAAATGGAATGGAATAGAAAATGGAGTAGAATAGAATAGAATAAAAATATAGAGTAGAATTAGAGTAGAGTAGAGTAGAGTAGAGTAGAGTAGAGTTGAGTAGAGTAGAGTAGTGTAGAAATACAGGAATAGAATAGAATAGAATAGAAGGAAGGGACTTTGGAGGTCTTCTAGTCCAACCCCTTGCTCAGGCAGGAAACCCTAGACCATTTCAGACAAATGACTGTCCAGACTCTTCTTTAAAACCTCGAATGTTGGAGCATCCACAACTTCTGGAGGCAAGTTGTTCCACTGGTTCATTGTTCTAATACTGAACAATAGATGCCACTGGGAGGAATCGACTTGATTCATCTCGAAAAAAGGCATTTCTAAATCTGACACTCATCCTAAAATCCTCCCTGAACTTCAGTAGCTGCATCCGATCTGTGCTTGCCACGTACGTTGCATTTTAGCCACCCATTCTCCCCAGTTTTGGTGTTGGTGGCCAGAAGAAGGCAAGAAGACAACCGGTCTGGCTTGGGGAAAGTTAGTAGGAGCACCAGATCTCAGCTTGTTGACTGCAAGGACCAGGAGAAACAACAGATGCCCGCTTTGTGCCAAAAACACAAACCTGCTACTTTCAAGTAGATGAACTTCAAAACAGAGAAAATTGACTCTTGCGAGTCTCTCCTGAAGCAGATGATAGTTTCATAACCCCAAGGGTGAGTCCTTCTACCCATTGCCCCACAGCTGGGAGCACAAGTAGCCGTCGACGTACAACAGTTCGTTTAGTGACCGTCCAAAGTTATGATGGGCACTGAAAAAGATGACTTACAGCCAGTGGTGGGTGTCAGGACTCCCAACAAATCCACCCCCACTCAAATCATAAGTCTCTAGCCTCATCTCAGAGAAAAGAAAATTGGTTTATTTGAAGTGTTAGCTAGATGCAGCCGATACTAAAATGCATCATTCATTTCCCCCTTGACCCTGGCCTTCTCCCCACCCTCCCGGATGTATATTCTCCAATGGGACACACCCATAGCCAAGAGTCTTCAATCATGCTCTCCAGTAATATTCTTGCACTCCGACAACTTTGGGCTGCCAGGGTGATTATCTAGGCACTTAAGGAATGTTTTCCCCCACTCCCCCTTTTCTGGCAGCTAAAAAGACCAAAGGAGTCTCTTTTTAGTTGACAGTGGGATTCAAATTTTTTTTACTACCAGTTCTGTGGGCGTGGTGGGCGTGGTGGGGAAAAGATACTGCAAAATCCCATTCCCATCCCCACCCCAATAACCTGCTTTCCAGCTCCGTTCTCCTGTGCAGGGCAAGCAAAGAAGACCCAGCCAATCAGCTGGGACTCAATGGGAGGCGGGGAATAGATGGAGGCGGGGCCAGTCAGAGGTGGGATTGGCTGATTCCCCGAACTACTCAAAATTTCCGCTACCGGTTCTCTGCTACCAGCTGATTACCACCTCTGCATACAACCGTTTTTCATAGTTACGACCTTTGCAGCATCCCCATGTGATCAAAATTCGGATGCTTGGCAACGGGTTTGTACTTATGACTGCTGTGGTATCCCAAGCTCACGTCATTCTCTTTTGGGGACCTCCAGATGAGCTAAGTCAACGGGGAAGCTGGATTCACTCAACAACCCAGGTTGCTAACTGATCACCGGCAGGGATTCGCTTAACAACAGAGGCAAGAAAGATGGTAAACAAACAAAATTTCTCTTTGTTAAGTGAGGTTAACAAATGTCTTATTTAACGACATAAATTCTGAGCACAATTGTGGTTGTAATTCAAGGACTAGCTGTGGTTTATCCACTGCCCGCAAACCAACTAGCACAAAAGAGAAGTCAAACAAAGTGGTTTAAGGCTGTGCTCCTTTAAGATTATTTATTTAGCGTATGGCACAGCATAGATGGACCAGCAATATATATTAACATTTCACCTAGATTAGTAAAACACAATAAGAAATAAACGTGAGGAAGTTTGAATACCATCTAGCCACTGATGCGCAGCATCACTTATATTTAAAAAAAATCAGATACTGGATTTTTGTTTTTACTATGTCCTCAGCTTACAGCTGGTCACAACATGGTCTATATTTTGACAAGGGACCCCACACTCACACTGAGAGGAGGATTCATACAAAAAGTCCTGACAGATGTCATGGGAGGTGTGAATCCTATTCAGGATTGTCCATGGCTGACGTGTCTAAGAAAGAAACAGGCATATCGAAGGTACTTTTCCATTTAAAAAAACGCCTTCCATCCATTTGAGGGGTGGGTAGGATATTCTTCTCCCTGTGGACAGTACAGAAAGTGGGGTTCTTGGTTTTGCAGCCCCTGGGTAAATTCCAGCTCGAAGCCACTGACACAGAAAGCTAGAAAATGAAGAAGTGCATCTCCAGCACGCCAGAGGTGGCAAGTGAGATATGACTGACAGCTCTGCAAAGGTTAGGGTTATGGTTCAAATGGAGAATCCACTGTCACAAGAAGGGCAACAACCCAAAATCAAGTCGAGAGCCAATCCAAATCTATTTTTCAAGAGGCAACTGGACTTTCTGGTTTTTCTTGGAGGACATTTCGCTTCTCCTCCAAGTAGCTTCTTCAGAGGAGAAGCTTCTTGGAGGAGAAGCGAAACGTCTTCAAAGAAAGACCTGATGTATGACTGAGCACCTCCATAGACAATTCAAACTCTAGCCGAGAACAAGGTTTAGAATGTAAGGCCATTTGAACACCACTATTGGTTGTACAAGTATGCAATATACAATATTTAAATATACAGTATTTAAATTAGACCTAGCACCAGAGTATCTGGTGGAGTTTTAGATTTGAAGATGGTCCTAAACTTGAGATTAACCCTTAGACTTTGGGGGAAAAGATAAAAATGTCTGTCTAATCTTCTTGTTTGTGCTCCAAATAATAGTCCCCATGGACAGAAACAACCACCTAAATTTGTCAAGGACAGGATAACAGAGTTGGAAGGAACCTTGGAGGTCTTCTAGTCCAACCCCTTGCTCAAGCAAGAAACCCTACATCCTCATTGCAGACAAATGGTTGTCCGATCTCTTCTTTAAAAACTCCAGTGTTGGAGAGCGCACAGAACTTCTGGAGAGAAGTCGTCCCAATGCTTCAGTTGTTCTAACTGTCAGGAAATTCTTCCTTAGTTCTAAGTTGGTTCTTTCCTTGATTAGTTTCCCTTCATTGCTGATCCTTTCCAAAAGACGCCGAGGGAGGCAACATGAAATTAGAATCTTTGGGTCGGAAGCGAACAAGATTCTCTCCTGTCGCATCAAGGCCACCGCCCTGGCTGAAGGACTGAGACATTGGTCTTGAAAGAGATGATGACCTATCTTCCAGAGTAAAATCATCTATCAGGAAAAACAATGAGGGGGTAGCAGTAAAAGACCCACCCCAGAAGAATTTCCTCATTCTCAAAAGTTCTGGGTAAGTCTGAGGTGGCATCTTCCACAACAACACCCAGTTGAAATTTACAAAGCAAACTGAATAATCTTTTTCTGGAAAAAGAGAGGTTAAAAAATGACTGAAGTTGAGTTTTTGAGGGTCCCTTGGGAGGGAGACTCAGAGAAGGACCTCCTTCTGGTTCGGATTTTGTTGAGTTGGTTTGCATCAAAAGCTTAGGAGGGGAAATCCCCAGGAAATACACAGAGAGACTCTAATCAAATGAAGGACTCATAATAAACCCCAGAAGTAAGGATCAGGGACACATCGAGATGACATGAAGGAGATGACCATCAGCAAAGAGAAATTCAGCTCGGTTCAGCAGCAAGGGGGAAAATGTAAGTAAAAACCTGATTTTCTTTTAAATCAAAAAGATATCATTTCACCCCTTCAGAAATCATAGATGGCCTCCAGAAACTTTGGGTCCAGCCTCAGATGGCATACAAAAGTTGCTACTCAATTGTAAATTTAAATATGACCAAAGGGGGAAATGATGAAATGTATGGGGAATAATTTCAGGGTTTATGTTTTAATTCAATTTAAGGGCGCGTGGAATCAAATCACATTGAGGTTTTCTCTGAAGGCCCACTCACATTTCCTTTCTGGAATGCAGAATTCCAGCTGGTCGGAAGTCAAATTGTTTTCTAAAAAGTAGCTTGCAATGGAAACAAACAGTAGATGTTGTTATGGTGGGCTTTGCTCTCCAGGTTCAAAGTCTGGAGAAGTTTAAACCGCTGAAAGCTGCCAGGTGCATGGATTGAGTTGAGTTGGTTCAGTTGAGTTGAGCACTGCCTTAAATCATTGGTGTGGGTTGGATGCAATATCTCTGGCTTGGCTCTATTTTACATTGGTATTATTTATTTTCTTAAAATGGCCGCCCAACTTAGATATGTGTGTGTGTGTGTGTGTGTGTGTGTGTGTGTGTGTGTGTGTAGTAATCCTGCCTTCGTTCATAATAGTCTTGAAAGCCCAGTAAGAGTGAAGGTTGGGCAATCTTGTCTAGGCGCCATGATGTGCCAAAATAACGAAATCAACCTACCTTTACGAACTCAGGGAGAATTGCCAAAATATCGATTGCCGAAATATTGAGGTTCGATTGTGAGATTTGACAATGGTAACAGATTTCTTTTTTTTTTTTTAAAGAACGGCCTCTTTTTAAAAAGCCAGTGAATAACATATTTGCACACCTCCTCCATTTTTTTTTTCATTTCTTGTTTTGTCTTGTCTTTTCGAAGTTGTATCTGCCTCAGGAGGGTCTGCTATTTTTCTACTTTTTTTGCTAAAAGGCTTCAAAGAATGAGCCCTGCAGGTTGATACAAAAAGAATTGCTAAGGAATTTTAAAAAGTTGGTTTTCATGGTTCCTAAGAACATGCCTATTTCTCTTTTCTCTCTCTCTCAGTGTTGAGGCAAGTGCCTCCAGGAATATTCTGCAGCAAATGCAAATAATCTCAGTTCAGTCTCCCAACTGTAGCTACTAAGTTATTTTCTAGTCTTTTCTGAAACTCCACTTTCCATAATTGTTTTTCAACCTTGGTGTTTTCTTCTGATACACAACCCAGCTGCAGGTGTCCTCCAGGACTGGGTAGGGCAGAGGCCCTTAACCCTTCTGCCATCTCCCTTTCTCTGGCCTCTTTTCTTCTTCTTCTTCTTCTTCTTCTTCTTCTTCTTCTTCTTCTTCTT